CTATTAAAAAGCATAATATTCTTCCAGGCATAGTAGGGCATGCCTATACTCTTAGTACCATGGGCTCTAACAATAGGATAGTCATGAATTCAAGGCCAGTGTAGGAAGCACAATAAGGACTTATCTTGAAATAGAACAAAAGAAATGATATTCAGGCTTGGGAAGATGGCTTAAGAGCACTTGTTGCTCTTCCAGAATACCCAAGTTCAGTTCCCAGAACCTACATCAGACAGGTCACAATCATTTGTATCTCCAGCTCCAGGGGATCTGATGCCTCTGGCCTCCTTGAGCACTTGAATTCTTGTGCGCACACCCCCATCTCACACCTGCACAATTAAAAATATTAAAAAATTAATAAAATTATATCCTACCATCTGCATAAAAACAAATGAAATAAGCCAAACACAAAGGAACAGATATCTTGTATTCTTCCTCATGCATTGATTCGTTGTTAATTTAAAATCCTGAGGCTGGGGAGAGAGCTCACTGTCTACAGAGTTTGTTGTATAAGCATCAGAACTCGAGTTGGATCCCATTACCTAACTAAAGCTGGGCATGATGTTACACTCACGTAGGATAAAGGAGACAGGCAGGTAGCAAAGACTCAGTCCCATCAATATGAGTAAAACAACAATCTGCAGATTTAGTAACAGATCTTTTCTCCAAAATTAAGATGAAGAATAATAGAAGAGCATGCTGACCTCTGGCTTCCCTAAATGCATGCACAGCCCATACACAAATACAGACATATGCATCACACACACACACACACACCACTTAATGAGCTCAGTGTGGAATAGTAATAGGGGAAAAGTGAGAAAATGGATAGCAAGCACTAAAACACCGGGAGTGAAAAATAGTAAATCAATAACACAGTGGGTGTCTGTAGTCACAGTAACCTATTATACATTTTATAAATAAGTCTGAGAGGAATTTAAGACAATGATAAGGAGATTGAAATTTATTGCCATGGATTAACCATTACATGTCGTATACATGTATTGAATTGTCACACTATATGCGTTAAATATGTACAATTAAAATGATGATCAGCCAAAACTTTCTTACTGGGTGTGGTGACACATGTCTGTAATCACAGCATTCAGAAGGCTGAGGCAGGACTGGGAGTTAAAGGCTAACCTAGCTTCACAGTGAGATCTTGTCTCAAAACACAAAACAAAACTTAAAAAAAAAACAAATAGGAAAAAGTAAATTCTGAAGTTCTGTGACTGAATAGTAGGGTGAGTGCAGCTTACAGCAGCGTGTTGTCAAGTCCACAATAGTATCCGTCAGGTCCTACTCTGAAATTAAATGAAAATCAAATAGCTTCTGGAGCCTGCTTCTGCTTTCTGCCTTCCTGCTTTTCTATAAGCAGCTGACAAGCTCGCCACCAGAAAACAACCAAGTTAAAGATGCCAATGCATGTGCTGAAATTCTCTAACTCTGAAAATTCAAGACCTCTGCCCCACTGTCTACTTGGTTGTGCCCATTGATTTGGAAGGTTTCCTTACCCTTCATAATTCTTTTCTTTACTTTGATTTGGGTATACATGTCGCAAACATCTTTTTCTGGGTTGCGGCTTGCCTTTCCATTTTATTTATGGTACATTGGAGGAGAGAAATTCTTAACCTTAATGGGGTGAATGTATTGATTTTTTTCTCTTCTGGTTTGTATTTTTGATGTTTTATTAGGAAGTCGAGGTCAGAAAGCTACTTAAACATTTTAATAATGCTACTTTCTTCCATGTTCTTCCAAACATTTTAAATTTCAACATTTCCATTTATGTCAGCAATCCATCTGGATTTTGTTCTTGGTATGTTTGCCAATGCTTAGTTCATACTCTGTGTCTACATTCATTAATGAGACTGCCCTGTGCCCTTTCCATATTGTCCTCTTCTGGTTTGGGGTTCAAGATTATACTGGCCTTATACAATGAGCTGTGAGCAAGTCAGTCAGGGTCTTTACAGTGAACAGAGGCATGAGGGCAATTAAAATTTCAAGAAAGCTGGGTAGTGCTGGCACATGCTTTTAATTTCAACACTAGTGGAAGCAAGGTTGGGCAGATCTCTGAGCTCAAAGTCATCCTTGTCCACAGATTTCAGGTGGCGAGCTTGTCCTAGTGAGTTCTAGGACAGCCAGGGCTACACAGATAAACCTTGTCTTGAAAATAAAAGAAAAGAAAGAAAGAAAATTCAAGAAGATTGATCTATGCATAATGTCTACACAATGATGAAGATGCAAAGAACCATGGGACATGCTGGGGGTGGGGCAAGAGGGAGGGATGGTGACAAGGAAGTCTTCTGCAGGTAACAGTACCCATGTCAGCACTTATCAGCAAGAACAATGAGGAGAAGGAAACAATCAAGAAAGGGCAGGGAGTGTCAAGTGGCCACTTTGTGAAGGAACTTTGAAACAATGCTATAGTCTCACTCATCCCTTGATCTCTACCTTATGGTTGATTGGCTACATTCAAGCAGAAGCCGCAGGTACAGGACCTTCATTGATGGAATCCCTGCATGCCCTGAAGAAAGGGTATCAGAAAGTATGGTGGATTGGAAGATATAGAACCACAGGAACATAAATATACATGCATATACAATTTTGTATATACATATTGAGAGATTCGTTATGCAAGATTGGTTCATGTAGTTACAGAGGTTGGAAGTCAACAACCTGCCATTTGTAAGTTGGAGATCCATGAAGTCTCTCAACATAAAAATGACTAAAATGAGAAGCTATGAGACTACAGAGGCTATGAAAAGGAAGCTTATTGACAGAGATGGGCCCAGAAGTCAGAGGTCACTGTATTTAACCCTAGCTGGGATATATATGCCAGTCCATTTGCATTTTTCACTAATCTCGATGTGTTCAGAATGGCTGCAGAAACATCATGTGTTAACAAGTAAGTGAATTTGTAAAGATGGAATTCAGGGTGCACCTTCAAAGTCAATTACTGTAATGCAGAGCAAGTCAGAGAACACTCAGCTCTTTCCCACTGATCATGAAGTACTGCTAGCATTCTCTTAATTCAACTGGGGGCAGGGTGTTCCAGATAAGGGCAATTTCCTTCATTTGTCAGACAGATGTGAATATTTTCATAAGAGCCCAATTTCATATAACTCAACTATGCTCCATGGGAAAGAGTTATATTAGTCTAATGTATTCAACTATTGGTAGTTAACAATTACAGTCATGCCACCTGTGTGCTTTGCATCAGAAATGTTTCCTCTTAGCCAATGTCCTAAAGGCTTAGCACAAATATATATGTATATACATATACATATAAATATACATATATATAACAAATTTATACCTTGAAGACATCTATTTATTTTTAAGTTTAGACTGGAATGCATAAGTTAAAAAAGAAAGAGGAATTGGGGGATGTCTCTATGAATCAGAAGCTTGTGATAGAAGCAGAAGGATAAGTTTGGGTCTGCAGTACCCATATCAAAGTCAGGCACAATGCTGTGTATTTTGCCTTGGTGCTATGGAGACAGAGTAAGTCAGAGACAGGACAGGCAAATCCCAGCATCTCACTGGCCAGCCAGCCTACATTCTAGCTTAAACTGTGGGTTTTAGATCAATGAGACGTTGCCTCAAAAAAATAAGATGAAAAACAACATCTAGTCAGTACCAACCTTTGCCATCCAAATGCACACACACACACACACACACACATAAACACTCACTCTCTCTCTCTCTCTCTCTCTCTCTCTCTCTCTCTCTCTCACACACACACACACACACACACTCAGACACTTAGAGTGAAAACTGTCTTTTCTTCAAATTTATTTTAATGTAATATTATTATATACCATTTCAGAAAGTCAGAGGCTTGGGGAGTGTAAAGCCTTTCCACTCAGCAGTTAAGTCTGCAATTCAGAACTGTGACCTTCATATGTCTCATTTTAAGCAAAGATGATGAGATGGATCTTAGCCTATAACATATTTTTATTTTTCACATAAATTCATTTTTTAAAAAAATGAATTTACTTTTAATTTATCTGTTTAAATGTTTTGCCTTAGATGAGTTCTGCTTGCCAGTTCCCCCAGCATATTCATGAAGAGTTTTAAATCATCAGAAACTCTCATTTGGCAATGATTCTATTTGCCCTACCACCTCTGAGTTAGCACTGCCAAGCATGAATGGTCTAGACGTTGTATTAAAACACCTCCCTCTGGGACAGGCCTAGAAGTCATTGGCACAGGATTGCATCTATCTATGGATATTAGTAGATTAGAAGTCTTCCTGGCAGACAGGAATTTTGTCAAGATCCACCCACTATAGCCAGCATTATGTAAAGCATAAGAGAGTTCACTGGCTTATAGCCATTTAACAGAATTCAGTCAATAAAATGAGTGGATTTTTGTCTACATGAAAGATAGGCAATTCATTTTTAAACAAGAGGACCAAATAGAAAGTTGTAGTTTGGGAACGCTTAAAATTAACTCTGAATTTATATTGGGGATGATGATGCATTTTTAATGTCTTGCTGTCAGAAATTAAAAATAGCTCTTTCGGCCAGCTGTTGCTCCTTTTCTGGGAGAGTTGGGAGGTGGGGCACCACATGATTTGACTAAATTGAGCTGAACTGCTGCATTAGATTCTGTTTTGCGGTATTGCTTGTAGAATGTCTCTGTCTCCCTGTCTCTGTCGCCACCCCCTCTCTCCCCCACCCCGCCCCAAAACACACACAAATTATATTCCTTATAACCTTGAAGTCCACCTTGGCCCAAGACCCCTCCAGAAGGCCACGCCTCTTTTCCCTTCTCCCGGGAGTCCGGGAGAATTAAGGGGTCCCCAGGACAAGCTCCCGCCCAGCCCTGCCCAGCAGCCTTCTGGGAACTGTAGTTGTGGTCTCTGACAAGCTACCATTAATGTGGAGTGTAGGACTACAGATCCCGAAAGGCCACGCGTGCCGCGCTTGCGTGTCGGCACCTGCTAGAGGGAGGGCTAAGTCGTCCCGGGAGCCTCGCAAGTCAGCAGAGGAGGCTTTGGCTGCAGCCGGTGACATGGACAACGCAGGGAAGGAGCGAGAAGCGGTCCAGCTTATGGCGGAGGCAGAGAAGCGAGTGAAAGCCTCCCACTCCTTCCTCCGAGGGTTGTTCGGGTGAGCGCCAGAGGTCTTGCCCTTAAGGGGTCTTGGTGCCCGATCCCCTGCCCAGCCGGCAGCCACCGCAGAGTACCCCGCGCAACTGCTTAGGGTTCCGGGATTCCCAGTGGCCCACCCTCTGTTTTGGGTCCCGTCGCACCCAGGGCCTCATCGCATCCCTTGAGTCGTGTCTGGGGGGGGGGGGTCTCTCCAGTCTGCACACACTGCAAGCTGCAGAACCTTTTGGGGATCCTCAGGCCTTGGGCACCCCTCACCCACACCCGAAGAACCCCTATCTCTCAATCCCCAGGCACCCTTAAACAACCCAGAGATCTTGAACACGTCCTCGGAGATCTCTGTGGTGCCCCCATGCTTCTTTCGTTGCCAACGGTCCCGTGCTGGCGCCAGGGTCCGCGCCGAGCTGCCCCTTCGAGGATGCCACCCCTCCTAGTGGACCAGATTCATTAATTTCTCCTGGTCGAGCAGTAAATCACCCGAGGGAGCCAGGACTGTGAGGTTCTGGAATTCAGCCTAGAGCTTGGCATCCGCTGGCGGCTCATGGGGAGCGGGAAGTCTGCGCCCCTGTATCCCGGGCACTTGCCCACTGGCCTTGGCCCAAGGGCCTTGAAATCATTTCCTCCTTAGTGTGTTTTTCATTTTCCAGAGTGCCTTGTATCCGTAGTTCGGGCCTCCCGGTTGATGAACTGTATGTAACATTGCTCCTGTTTAAAGTCAGTATCCTTTGGGAACCCCGTGATTTTGTATAATTCTTACATGCTGTGGTAGGGAAGGGTTTACATTCTGAGCTTTCAAAAAGCAGAGCCTGTATTGAGAGCTTGTGGAAGAATTCTAGGCAGTTGATTATGCGAATGATTCAGCTGTTTATGACAGTGGTAGAAATTACGTGTGCCTCTTTTTTTCCCCCGTTTGAAAGTGAAAGATCTGTACCAAGAACAGGTTTTAATTATCGGGAAGGACAAGTGTCACATACTTAAGTGCTGTAAAAATTCAGTTTAGACACCAAGTTCTGAAAACACACCCAGTGAGCTTTTGACTTGTATTTTTACTTTATTCATTTGACTACTGATTACATTAATTATTATATAATAGTTTAATTGAACCCCATTATGTTTCCATCTCCAGGAAATGCTTAGGGTCACTTTGATACAGTTTATGGTACCATGGTCTGCCAAGATAGAGGAGGAGACCATCCTTGGAGACCTCTAAGGACATTTGTCACTGCTAGGTCTTAAATTTCTCATATAATATGAAGCTTGACACTGTAGGTGTGAGTTACAGATACTGCTTCCCCTTTAAAAGAGGAAAGGAGCACTGCAGGTGCCGAAGACTAATTCCTGTCTGTGAGTCTCAAAATACACAACATTCATTCAGTTCATGTGAAATTTAATGGCACAGTACCTCACCTTGGGAGATGATGCTAATACACATTTCAAATCAGGCTCTGCTTCCTCGAGCGAGTTATGGACCTTTATTTTGGTCAAGAGGAACATTGTTTTGAGAAAACTAGGTCAAATCTTGAGACATTCATCAAAAAGTATTTTGAGGAATCCTTTATTTTTGAAGAAACATCTTTTTGGCTGTAGCTGTCCTGTCAGTGGCAGGCCATGTAGCAAGATTTTCATTTCCCATCCACACTCTATGTGGAGTCACATAGAAGCAGCAGTTCAGGTTCTTCTCATGGGGTTTGGAACCTGGAAGGGGTTAGCTTTGCTTCTTTGGGCCTCAGCTTCTTCTGCTGTCACCCAGTGTGTCTCATGATTAATAATCAATGAGTTTGTAAAATACTTAGACGTGTGGATGTTGGAAATGGCTGTGGGATGATTATCCACATACTCATCAAAGCTGGCGACCCCTCTTATCAAGGAAGCAGAAGGGCAGATGGATTGAGTTTTGCAGGATTTCAGAGCCAAAAGTGTGGTCGCTACCCTTAATGAGTAAATACCCTAAAGAGTTTTAGCCTTTGAAAGGACACTTTCAAGTGTCCTTTGCCCTGTGAGGACTGGGAGGTTTCCAGTCATATTGCTTCCTGAAAAGCTTAGAAGAATATGTAGAGCTTCATGAGGTTCATCATAAGCAAATAAGTATTTGAAACACCAAATTAGACCTGTTTCTCTGTTAGTTACAGTGGGAGGACTACAGTTCTGTATCAGTTTTAGATGTTTGAGGTCCTGTGGGTGTGACATTGCAAGCATTTGCCATCACCTTACATGTTGCCCTGCCCCGCCTCTCTTTGGTTCTCTCCCTCATTTACAGTAGTATTATCCATCCCCGTGTGAGACTCTCAAGTTAACAGGCAATTAATAATGACAAGTATCATCAGCGTTCCTGTTTAAAAGATGGACAGGTGACGATTTAAGGATGTGTCAAGACATTTAAAAAGGCATTTGGCTTATTGCAGATGTTCCACGTCACTGACCGTTAATCTCCTAACTGCAGATTAAAGCGTAGCTTGACTTCATCTCCTGTATCCCAAACACTGCTTTTGTGATAATACTATGTTCTCAGTATTGTTACATAACTCTGCCTTTCTGTTATTGCTTTAGATGGAAATATGCATAGAAATTCACAAGAATGGGTCTATTGAATGTTTTTTCAGCCTGGTAGCTGGAGGTTGGAAGACGCATCAGTACAATTTTCCCCCAGCAAGGCCTCTTGCAGCTCCCCTACAAGAAAACAGTTTAGAAGGAATGCAGACATGCCTGCAACCAATATTCCTTCTGTTTGGTTTTCTGTGTTATTCCAAGTTAAAGAGTAACTGTTTTTGTGTTTTGGTTTGTTTGTTTGTCTATTTTCAATTTTTCTGAAAAGCACAGTATAAAACCACCACTGAAAAAGCCAAAATTTCACTTAGTGGATTGTCAGAGCTGAGCTGCAGAAATCTGTAGTTAATTTCAAACTTTAATTTAGCATCTCAACGAACTGCTAGAATGATCTTAAGCTGGCCAAACTGACAATAGGGTACGTTCGAAGTGCAGACTTCCTTACTATCTTCATTTGTTGCTAGGGGAACATGCATTGAGGGTGTGTGGCACAGTGCACATTGAAGAAAGCCATACTTAGGGAATGATAGGAAAATTTTTCTGGGCTTCCTTTGTTTGTTCCTTTCTTGTTTGTTTGTTTGTTTGTTTGCAGTGCTGGAGATGAAACCCTAGGCCTTATACATTGTTAGGCGAATACTTATCCTGCCACTGAACTATATATATTATTCTCAACTCCCTGATGGTTCCTTTACAATGTTCCTCAATCTCAGGGATAATAAAAGAGGTGGTCTCAGTATAAATTTAATAAGGGATCCTTTTGTGTTATTGCAACTAAGATAAGTCTACTTAATAACTGTGAAGATTCAGATATTTCTTAGATGCTGTAGACTATATCCATATTGTTCCCTTGTTTTTATTTCACTGAAGATTGTTTCCATGGTTAACACAGTCATGTGATAGCTTTGAGAGAGAGCATTTACATCTTTCTCAGTTATGATTAATACTTAAATGTAGATTCAGTTTTTTTTCCATTGATCATCTGGATGTGGTGGCATACACCTTAAGATCCAGCATTAGGGAGGCAGAGGCAGGTAGATCTGTGTGAGTTCAGGGCCAGCCTGGTCTACATAGTGAGTGCCAGGACAGCTAGGGCTATGTAGAGAAACATCTCAAAAACAAACAACAAACAAACAAATGAAAAAGAATAGGAAAAAGTAAACAACGACAAAAAATCATTGTTGTGGTCACCCATTCCTGTAATCCTGTAATTGTAATTCCTACAATCTAGAGGCTATAAAGCAGGAGGATCTTGAGTTTCCTGTCAGCCCGTCTCAAATACAAGACAGGAAATATAGACAAAGATGTAAGGTACAGTATAAGACACATAAGAGTATTTGTGTATATTTCTTATAAGAAGTAAGATGTGGAAAGTTGTGTATAGAAAAATAATAATACTTGCCATTTAAATCTGTAATTCTGGGATTTTTTTATTTCAGATTTTTTTCAAATATTTCTTATTTCTGAGAATTATTCATGAGTGATTGTAAATAATATTACCCTGTCCTGGCTGATTATGTCAACTTGACACAAGCTAGAGTTATCTGGTAAGATGAACTACAGTTGAGAAAATGTCTCCCTAGATTGGTCTGTAGGCAACTCTGTAGGCATTTTCTTGATTTAATGATTAATGCAGAGTGGAAGAATACAGCCCATAGGACCTACGTTATATATGAAAGTGGGCTGAGAAAGCCATGAAGAGCAAGCCAGTAAGCAGTATTCTTCCATGGGTTTTGCTTCAGGTTCTGCCTCCAGGTTCCTGCCTTGGCTTCCTTCAGTTAACTAGGACTTGGGACATGTAAGCCAAATAAACCATTTTCAGTCTCAAGTTGCTTTTGATCACTGTGTCTTATCACAGCAATAGAAACTCTAAGATATCTAAACTGGCAAATTTTTTTTTTTGAAATAGCAAGAAAATGGTGTATACCAAGAGTGTCCATGTCACCAGATCACAGCGTCATTCTAGTCAGTCATAGGACCTTATACACTGTAAGGCCTTCAGAACTGGTAAAAATCAGCATGACATTCTAAAACACTTCAGCTCCTCAAACAGTTCACAGGAAGTTCAAGGTTGGAATTAGAATTTCAGAATGTTAGCTTTTCTGTTTTCAAGTAGAACTTATCAAAACAATAAAAATCTTACATATAATTAGTCAATATTGTTTGAATTAAGGCATATTTTTCATGGTAGGGAACTCCTGTTTTACTGGGTATTTTTCATCATGTTTTATTTGAAAAGCCTTATCAATATCTGTGGAGATAAAAATTATTTTTCTCCTTCAAATTACCAATATCTTGATTAGTGGGTGGGTTCCTGTTAAACTATCTTTCCATTCTTGGAATAAACTCCTCTTGAGTTGCTTTGAGGGTCTTACTGTAGCCCAGGCTGGTCTCAAATTTGTGATGAGTCTGCTTGAGCCTCCCAGAGTTAGGGTAACAGACTATGTTTGGTTTTACACA